ACAGATATAATCTCCGCAACACAGTCACCGCAAAGGTCCTTAAGTGGGCCTTAAAGTGCAAGAAAGCACTGGCTAATGCAGGCCTCAACCCTGGAGCAGCGGGTGGACCGTGACGAGACGAATCGCTGCCAACTCTTGAGTTCTTCTACGGCCCGGACCTGGTTCAGGCCGACGGCCTTGACCGGACGATAGGTCTGGGACCTGGGGCCTGTGTCGCAACATGTCGCGCGCGTTGCGAGGTTGCCGGTTGCGCCTTATTGGCAGGACTTGCGCCGCCTTTTCGCCACGATCCCATGCTGGGATGTCGAGAACGCTGGCGAACAAACGTTGATGAGGGCCGGTCCTTTCGACTCTAGACAGACGTACTTGGGTGCAGGAGGTCAACGGCGGTGCTGCTTTCACAGTAGCCTTTGCCTTCGCCTTCGTGAGAGCGAGTTCCGCCGGATGGCCCGCGCTGGGAACTGCAATGCCCTGAACAGGATCCAATCAACCACGGCTGGAAAACGAGTCGGCAGTAGCGAGGCGGCGGCAACGACGGCACAGCAGCAAAGCAGGTGCGGGAGCAAACTTTTCTCCTGAACCCTGAACTACGAATGCTACATCCCGAAGTTTCTCAACCCCCAAACCCAAACAGCCTCTGGCCCCCCCTACGCCCTAAGCAGTCTACTGAACGACCTCCAGAGTTTAAACTCCAGATCGCAACGTTTTGCTGGAATGCATCAGGCTCGAACCCCAAGTCCTAACTGTCCTAACCTCCGAACCCCAAACTCTGAAGCCCTTTACTTAGCAGACGAAAAACTGAGACAATCTACAGGAGGACGTCAGATCTGAGTGAGAGTTTCAGAAGATAGGGGGCCCTTAGCAGGATCCTTGCTGCTCCCCAACTAAGGCAACCTCATTTTCTGTCCCAGTCTCCGTAACCCCTCGGCCTTTCAACCCTGAGCCATAGACAATAGTTTCTTGGGGGTAGACTGTCGAACGTGTTTCATTGGAGGACCCCTACATTAGGCCTAACCATTTGGCCCTTGGGGGCCTACCATTAGCAGGGTCGCAAGCTCAAAGCCAACTCCCAGTTCGCGCACTTCTCACAAGCGCTGATGCAAGCGCTGTACGAGACCACCTTGGGACGAGGGGATTTCGGGCTGCGGGATTTATGGCATTCTTTTGTTGGGGTTAAGGGGTTCAGTCGTCAGGATTTATGGCACACGGTTCGTGGAAAACGGCTGAGAGGACCACTCAGGGTATAGTTTGTTTGGATTTTAGAACCAATGCAGTGGGGTACCATCTTCTTGAAGGCGGCATCGCCAGGTTGTCAGTGTGTTGTAGGACTTCATGGAGGGTGCAGTGGTGTGATTCCGTAAAGCTGTCCAAAAGCTGCGATAGTTCGCAAAGCTGCGGCTTGCCGGGCTGTAAAGTTGCCAAACTTGAGGGTAAAAGACTCACTTGTCCAGTATCTCAATCGAGATAAGCAAGAGTTAAGGTGTGGGATTCTGAAGGAATTTCAGTACATCCAAACCCTTGTAGGTTCCTATTCGACTGCAGCTCGGGAAATCGGGTTTCGGGACCAGGAGGGTCAAAAACCATTAAATTCCGACACCATCGGGCGGGAATGTTATACAGATTGCTGGTGTGCCGAATACTTCGCGAGGCTTCATGAAATCATGATGTCGGAAGGCCGTTCCATTTCGCATCCGAAGCCCTAGAGTGAACAAACCCCCAGCACACCTGAGCCGTAAGCCTTAAGCCCTCTCCGAAATCCAGACCCTCTGCATTCCCATTGGCCTCGCTATCCTGGGTCTCTGGCGTCTGGCTTGTACTTTGCCCTTTTGAGCGATGGGAGTAAGCTGATAGCGATCTGCCATTGTCGGGCCTCGGCCGCCCAGGCTTTAGGATTGAAGGACTTTGGATCTGTGGGTTTAAGGCTGAGGGTCGAAAGCAACGGGTAGAGGGCTGATGGTTTGGGGATTGGAGCGTCGATTCTAAGACAATTGCCAACGGGTGGGTTATCTTCAACACAATCCTACTTCTGACCTCCTTGCCAGGTCCCTTATTGCCTGAGTCGAGCGATTAGACCTAAAATCCTCACTGAAGCATGGACGAGGCTCTGTGACAAGTCTAGATGCCCGGGTTCTAAGTGAGCAAACGGATGTAGCACTATGTTGTAGGTCCTAAAGCAATCCTACCACGAACCCTGAGCCCGACTTCTCTGAAAGCTCCACACCAGAGCTTCAAGCCCAAGCTGCACGACTGCAACTCGAGATGACAGCGTTCACACCAAGAAGCCGCGGTTGAAGGGAGCTGCGCCAGGCCTGCGGCTGCGGATGTACTCTCTTCTCGAAGGAGCTGCGAGGGGGGGCTCAGGATGTGGGGTTTGGGTGTTCTCTGCCTGAAGGACTGGAGGAAAGGAACAGGATGTAGGCGGTAGGGCGTGGGCAGGTGGAGCTAAAAACTCAGAGCTGTTGCACTTGGATTAAGGTGTAGGTAAGCGCTTTCATCTGGTTAGCCTACGTAGTAAAGCCCGCTTCTAACCCCCGATCCTCCAGAAGCCCCAAACCCTGATGTAGATCGGAAGGCGCCAAGCTTGTGACAAAAAATGCTGCATCACTAGGGCTCGGGGTCCCCGAGCCCACCTACGCCCTCAACACTCTCCTGGATTGTGTCGGCCAAAAATCAGAAAACCTAAACCGCCTACATCCCGGAGCCTGAGCCTTGAACCGTACGTCCTGAAATACCAAACCCTGCAATCCAACGACGACGTCAACCACCAAACGGAATCCGAAACACATGAACGGCCCAACTCGGTGTGATATCCCCAGCTTCCAACCATGAAACCCAAATCAGCACCCAAACAATCTATCAAGCGATGCCAAACCAACAACCCCCAATCAGAACCATCCCCACCAAGGTGCCTAAGCAACTTAGAAAACCGCGTCAAACTTGGGACCTTGAATCCGAAGCCCCTAAACTCGCAACCTGGTGCCCTCATCGCCATCTGCCCCTTCACCCGCTGGAGCCCTAATCTATCTACTGCTCTACACCTAAACCCGAAAATCTAAGCCGCTATGCTCCACAACGTTATACCCTCAAACTTCACATCCCTACGTCCCTAGACCCTCACACCCGAAGCGCTTGACACCACTGAACAGTCCACCAGACGACGACAAAACCAAACCCTCAAGCATAAAGCCCTGAACCCGCAGCACTGAGGTTTACACCTTCAAACTAAAACTTGAAATCCCAAAACCTCCAAGCCCCCAAACCCTGAACCCCAGTCGCTCAACCCTAAACGGAAGCCTCTAAACTCATCGCAGCTCTGAACAATCTACTGACGACAACCATAAGCCTGAAATCCCAAACCACTAAACTTCCACACCCTGAAACCTAAACCCTATAAGCCCTAAACGTTCTCTGATCCGAAAGCCATAAAGCCCTGAACCACAAACCCGACATGCATCTACTGGAGCACGTCCCAGTTCAGCCCCAAACCGTGATTCCTGAGACCCACAAGCCGAAGTCTCACAAGTCCTAAACCCTCAACGCACCGAAGCCCATTAAGTCTAAAAGGGCACTAGACGAGACCAAATTTATTCTCGAAATCCTACAACCCCACGTCGACCGGGGCCCTAAGCAGTCTTTTGGACCACATCAAACTTTAAACATAACGGGCAGCCCAGCCCACCCAACCCACGACACCTGCGCCGTGCCCATACCAGGCACTGAACATCTCTAAACCCAAAGTCCTAGACTAGAAGCTTTGTCTTGACTCGACTCGAGTTGGAGTTCGGGTTTCAGGTGCCTTGACAGAGCTTCTCACTCATCAGCACGACAACGCAAGTTATTGCTGTGATAAGCCCGGAACCAGCCTCAACCCCAAGACCTCACAGAATCAAGCCTCCCGAACGAGGTACAATGCCCACTGCCAGCTGCCTCTTGCACAAAGGATCCTCGTGAGATGCTTTTGGACGGCGGCGAGGTTGTGGAATTTTCAGGGAGGTCTTCAGGTTGGGACCCTACAGGAGCCTGTCCGAACCGTGAGGGCAAAAGAGCGGCTGCCCATGGGTGCGGCCTTTCAGAGTTGGCCAAGGTGCCGCAGCGACATGACAGAAGAACGGCAAGAGTTAATCGCCTTTCATATCTCTACAATCACCGTCACGGTTTAGGCATGAGGTCATCGTTTAATCTACGGGTGGCCCCTTGTCTTCCAACCTCACCCATTCACCCCGGACCTCGGTATCCTGACAGCGAAGACCTTGAGCGCGAGCTCCGAAAAAACACACACACACACACACCTGACCGACTCAAGCTTTGACGCACCCAAAGGCAAGTGACGTAGCCGTGGTGTAATCTTCCTGCCATTTGACGCTTGGGGGTTTTTTGGGTTTGAAGCTTTAGGCCTCTCAGGATTCCGGGCTTTGGGGCTTAGGAAGTCCAGGGCTTTGGGGCGATTTGAGGCTTTTGGGTTCAGAGCTGTTTAAGGCCGTGAAAGGCAAGGGCGGAACTACAAGAAGCGAGGCCGTCAAACTCAACACCTACACACGGACTTACAAACTGAGCCCAAAAAGCCTGAAGCCCGTAAACCCCAAAGCTAGGTCAAACCCAAGCCCCCTCTTGGTGTTCGCTGGTTTCGAGCTCTTTGAGCGACGGGGCTTCTGGGTGCTGGGACCCATATTGGGTTGACGAACTTTAGATAGCTGGGGCGCACAAGGCTCTTGAAAGCGCCTGATCACCTGATAAGGTCCCACGTCTAGAAACCAGAGTTGCGTATGGAGTTCTCTTGTCAGAGTTACTCTGGCCTCTAAGCATGACACCTCTTTCTCGGACGTTCCCCACTAGCCCTCTCCCTGTTCAGTCTTTCTAGGGAGAGCCCAGAACAGAAAAATGTGAAAGGATGGATACTTCTGGGCGCTGTTGCTAATCAAATCCGCCAGGCGAGCCTGGGCCAGCAGAGAATCCCGACGTCCCGACTGAAGCAGAGACCGCCGACGTGCCGACTGAAGCAAAGACAACGCTTCAGTCCAGTGCACATTCCGCGGGATCCGAGCTCGTGCTGCACCTGTCTCGGGGTTCGAGGTCAAGTAACTCTCTCTCTCTCTCTCTGTCTGTATCCCTGTTCCATACGCATCTATAAGGTTTCCTCGTTGTTCAAAGTTTGGAACTTTCTCAGAAGGTTGAGGCTTTGGTACTGAGGGGCTATTTGTCCCTAGCTGAGGATTGGGACTGCTGTTGGTCTTGCTGCTCTCTTCGGGCTTGCGCTCAGCGCCGCGCGCCTGAAACCTCTTGATTCTCTGAGGTTCCTTAACATTGAATGCTCCAAACCAGAAACTTAACCCTAGGGCAAACTCTATGCATCGTGAGCCCCCAAATTTAGCAACGCAATCGAAATCAATATCCTCGTCATCAGCAGCAACACCGTCGTTGTTCGCAAGAAATTTTGAGGGAGATCTCGATAAATGTGGTTAGGTCGGTCCTGGCGGCGCATTGCTCTTGCGCAGCGCCATGGCTCCAAGCCCTCTGTCTGGACGCTCGGGTGACTTGGCGAATCAAGCAAGGCTTGGGCTTAGGGTTTAGGGCTTGAGGTGTTGGATATCAGGGATCCAGGGTATTTAGGCTCCGGCGCTTGCCACTAGAAACCCAATTCATGACAGGCTCGGGGGTTTGGAAGGTCTACAAAGCTCTCAAGAGCTCTCTACTCCTCGCGTCTCTGCATGCAAGCCCCAAGAAGCTGGCCAAACGGCGGCATGTCGATTTGAGGGCTTGAGGGTTTAGGAGTTTAGGGTTTTTTTGGGGTTTAGGAGTTCAGGGTTTTTTAGGGTTTAGGAGTTCAGGGTTTTTTAGGGTTTAGGAGTTTAGAATTTTTTAGAGTTTAGGAGTTTAGGGTTTTTTAAGGGTTTAGGAGTTTAGAATTTCTTAAAGTTTAGGAGTTTAGCGTCTCGGGCTTAAGATCACGGGTTCAGGCACCTACAGCTGGCAATGTCGACCCCTGATTGTCAAAACAAGCTTTAGGAGCACAGCCATAGTCGTTCCAAACGGAGGATGGTTTATGGATCATTTGTGTGGGTGATGGGATCCCACTTGAAGGTTCTTGGTCCCAAGCTGGAGAGCCCAGAGAAGAAGTCACAGCTGGAATTTCTGTAGCATCGGACCTTGGTTCCTCCCACAGCCTACGGAGACAGCCCTGCCTCTCTAAACATCTGCTGTGGAAGCATTGCATGGTCTCTCTATTTAAGGTTGCAGGTTCAAGCCCCAGTCAAAATCCTGGATCCCTGAGTGGTTTGTGTGTTGCGCCCTGGGGCTTGAGAAACGGACTTGGGGATCAATTGGGCTTGGAGCCGAAATGTGGGGCCTGCAGCAGGGCCTGGTGATAATGAGTAGATAAAGGCGTTGGGACATACTTACTAGATTATACTTCTAACAGGCAACTTCACGGAAAGTAGTATGAATTATTCCCTTTATTACCTCCAGGTTCGCGGATACTAATAAAGCCGGGCATCTGGTCTGCCGCTAAACCACAAACCCTGCTGAGACCTTAAACTCTTAACGGATGGACCCTACACTTCGGATAACCACTGATCATTGTTCAGCCCAAGTACGGTAACTTGAACCCCAGATCTAAACGACTTATTTCACACTTTTGTAACTGCATGTAAAAGGGATCACTGAGAACCATGTTTGACAACACTCCTCGATCCTCCTCTGCACTCCTTGCCCGGGCTACAACCTTAACACTGGCTTGCTGGAATCAGTCCGCATGTTACCAAAGGAATTCAACCGATACCAAATGAGTGCCATGCACATAGCCAACGCCCATTTCCTGCCGGTTGGGAATTCCGAACGTTCTCAACACCTCGAAAGACCACATACTCCTCATGCATCATCAACAGTACAACTCATGGGCGTTCGGCTACCTTCTTGGTCCTTTGGCATCTGCACCTATGGTCATTTGCCTAGTCATTTGCCCGCGCGAGAGCCGGACAATCGCGCGACATCGAGTATTTGTGGCACATCAGCTTCATACACGTATATACATGCATGTATGTCTGCATGCATGTATTGCATACTCTGAAATCCCAAAACCCACCTGCAAACCCTAAGCCCGGTGCGCTACGGTTGGTATCAGAAACATAAAGAGCACTTTGACGAGCCTTGGGCAAACCGTCGACAGCCCATGACTCCCTGTGTAGGAAGGCTTGTCGCAAAACTAACTTCCAGGTGAAGGCCTTGAGAAAAGCGTCCATGTCGCCTTCTGCCTCTCGGCTTCAGAATGTCAGCGGGCTTGACGGTTGGAGTTGAAGGAGCTCAGGGATTTGTGGCTTTACGATAGGTTAAAGCTTTGATGCTTATTCTTACGCTTTCCGCGACTCAGTAGGCTTCGGCATTCAAAAGGGACCCACCCACAGTAGGCACACGATCCTGTAGCACGCGTCCCAACCCCCTGCACACTGTCTCCCGTCGGCCGTGCTGTTGTCAAGAAAAGGATGGGACACATTTTCGCAGATGTCAACGGTCTGACACATTGGTCAACCGGGCTGCGCAGTGCAGGCCGTAGTCGCAGTAGTAGTAGTAGTAGTAGTAGTAGTAGTAGTAGTAGTAGTACTAAGAGTGCGAGTACGTCGTCGTCGTACTGGTGGTAGTGGTACTGGTACGAGAACCACTGGTACTACCAGAACCTTTAATTCTACTAGTACCACTAGTCCTACTCGTACTACGAATACTACTAGTACTACATGTCCTACTAGTGATGCTAGCACTGCTCCTGCTCCTGCTCCTGCTCCCGCTCCTGCTCCTCCTCCTGCTCCTGCTCCTGCCCCTGCTCCTGCTCCTGCTCCTGCTCCTGTTCCTGCTCGGAAAGCTAGCGTTAGCAACGGCAGCAGCAGTACTGCAGTAGAGTAACAGCAGCAGTAACAGTCCATGGACTCAATTCGCGTAGTTCTGCATGGCCTTGTGGAGAATGCAAGACCCACATGTTTCGAAGGGATTCCAGAGACACGATCTGACTCAAAATCGATGCCTAGCATGAGTTTTCGGAGTGGTTCTGAAACTTTGCAGTCCTGAAAGCAAAATTTGTAGGCTCAAACAACTAGCTCCATGTGGTTGCATAGTGAACACAGGATTAAGGATCTCCAATAACTTACTCAGCCAATACCTATGCATCGAGTGATGGCAGACATGCTGTATTCATGTACGCTCAGTTTTGGTATGGGCACCTTCACCATCATCCAATCGCCCGAGAAGTTTGGCCGGTCGTCGTCCTCACACCTGATCCCCAAACCCGCAAAACCCTGAACCCTCAACTCAGACAACTGGTTCACAGGTTTGAACTCCGAGGGGGGGAACTTCCCTTAAAATGGCCTTTACGGATTCGGGGCATGCGCCATTTACATCGTGCTTCCTAGGTCCGCATTGGGCCGTTGAGAGGTAAACGAAGCCTGAACTCAAACCCATGCACCCCGGAACTGTGAAGCCCTAGACCCTTGATCTCAAGGTCCCACCCCGATCTCAAGTGAGCGGTATCACCATGTTGTCTGTACTCTGGTCAATTGCTGTATACTGCGCGTAGAGTGTTTGAATAACATGGCTGCTGCGTAATTTTATTAGGGGGTAAGTCAGACCAAAACCCCGTCGGCTTGAGCCTTTTAACGATGCAACAAATCGAGAGTTCTCCTGCCCCCGAACAGACCTTCTCAATGTAGGGGAAGTCAAGAAGGAGTCAACTAGGTGACCTATTCTTTAACACTGTGTCACAGCCACAGCAGAATTCCGCTGCCCTGGGCTCTGCAGGCCCTCTGACGCAGTTCCACAGCGCCCTTCCCAAACTTCAGTTCCAGAAGCATGGCAACTTCAACATGGCAAGACCAATCGAAACATTTCTTTCAGACTGAAACCACTTTCCTCAGCTCCCTTTCTTCTAAGAGCTGGGCTCGTCCGCGTTCGGGGTCACTGCCCTGTTCAGGATCTGAGCTTGTTGATGATATACAGGTGCAGGGCTCTCGATGTTTGTTGTTTTGCGTCCATGTAACCATCATGCAGGTGATGGCTAGTGGCAGTTTTGCAACTGCTGCGGGATCTATATCATGGTTCGTGCAGATGGTGATGGAAACGAATCTAAACCATAGCAACAAAAAACGACAAAGATGGATGATGGCCGTGCTTCCACAGTCTTCACTTATATATGGCGTTGTTCGCATTCCGTTGAAAGAGCTGCTGTTGATGTTGTTGTCGGCGCCATTCATGGTAACGAGTGACCTTATCACAGATTCGGATGATATTTATGGCAATGGCCCCAATAAGGAGAGCAAACATCAGCTCTTGTGGTGCCCCTCCACTGCTACAAACCATAGCCATGGATGCGAAGAGGAAATCCGAGTACGCCGAGTACAGGGCTCATGCTAAAGTGGCTCATGGGGACCCTAGCCCTAGCCCTAATTTCGCCCTTCGCGCTTGCTTCGAGGCTGGGAAGGTCATGGCCCAACCTCTGCCGGCCCAACACTTGCCGAGGCAGTGGAACATGACTCATCACAGAATATAAAGACTTTTTTTGTGGAGGCGGTATCAGACACATGACTCTTTGTGTTTCAGAACATCGTCCCCACTCCCTACATCCTAAAACGAGGTGCGTCGCTAACTTTCGTCCTTCTTCGTCCTCAATCGGAGACTCAGAGGATGCAGTCATGCCAGTTAGGATTACTTAGATACTCACAACACCTCCAGTAGAACCGACGTATTAAGTTTAATGACTAACCGTGAATCTCCAAAAACGAAACTCCGACCGCTGCTCTCAACGATCCGAACCCAATCACTTATCACTTCCCCGAAGCCCAACAATGACAGGACCCCAGACCCGAAGCGCCTGGGCCAGGCACCAAACAACACTCAGAGTCAATGTCATTGCCCAACCAAAGCTCCAAGGTACAAGCTCTCCACCGCAGACTCTCAGCCAAGACTAAACACCACAACATGAACGCCGGGACAGTTCTGCAATCGGAAAGCAAGAGGGATGCTAGAAGTTGTTCACACTTCTTCGTTGAATCTCTGGCAAGACCGCCGCTGGCCGGCCTCTCAACCACCAGCTCCACGTCGGAGGGGCTCCTAGGCTTTAAGACTTTGAGGCGGTCGGGGTGTGGTCTAGCCGGTGAGGCAGAAGCAAAGGCTTTGGAGAGCATGATTTGATGGTTTGCTAAAGTCTCCCTGTACTGGTCGACAGTAGTTTCTTCCAGAGGCTCCCGGAGTGGGGGAGGTTCGAAAACAAGAAGAAGACCATAGAATACCAGTAGTACTGATAATCTCCTGCACCGAGGCCGACTTCTAGTTGCACAAGCTCTCAGTATAGTATTTTGCAGTGATCCGTTTCAAAGCACTGACTGATGCCCACCACGACCACTTCCTTCCGGAAAGCCGCAGCCGTGTGAAAAGAGTTGCCCCGGGCACAGCACATCCTGCAATCATAGGCCCCTGCCCCCAGACTCCTGAATCTCACACGACAGCGTTACCCCAGGAACCGGACAAGCCCCAAACAAACTCGCCC